GTTTGCAGGATCTAAAATTGCCCCCAGAGTCCCAGAGGCGATGACGCCTTCTCAGCAGAGCGTCCCACACCTCACCAACGACGTTGGTGGTAAGTACCTTTCCTCAAGCACTGCAAATAGAGGTAAATGCATCCTTGCGCAGGCACTTCTTCTCTTGGAGAGATTGGTGCCTGATGAGCCACCAGAGCTATGGCACCCACAGTCCTTTTCTCCTTCCCCTCCTCTCATGCACTGGCTGCATCTAAGCCATGTGTCCCCTTGGCCTCCTACAGGTCAAGTGGCCAAAGCTGTCCTTCTGGATTCTCTGCCTATGGCCCCTTGGGACATTGGAAGGAGACCAGGGACGGCTGGGACTGGAGGAGCTCTTCTGCCAGAGAAGACCAAGTGAGTGTTTCTCAAGGAGTGCTTGCTGTTCAGGGCCCTGGTGAGGCCTCACCTCGACGGCTGGGTTCAGTTTTTTGTTTTTTTTTTAAATATAAAAAAAAAATTTTTTTAACATCACCAGCCTGCCATCATCTTTATTGGTGGGTGGGTGCATTGGGTCACAGGATCAGGCCCCCACCAGTGAACTCCATCCACTGTGGGGGGTCAACAAAGGCCAGGCAGTCAGAGGGATGGGTAGGCAGCAGCCCCATGGCCTGGCACTTGTAGAGGGCCAGTGCCAGCCCCAGTCCATTGCCCACCAGGAACACCAGCCCCTGAAGTGCCCGCTGGCTCGAGCTCTCCAATGCCTTCAGTGTGGCAGAGAGAGACATGAGGGCTTGCAGTGGGCGCCAGCCCATCATGCAGACCATCATGGCAGGGAAGATGGAGATGGTATTGCCGGCCATGTACATGATGAACAGGTTCATGGGGATCTGCTTCAGCGGCGCCAGTGCCACGTCCCAGCAGCGCTTCTCCATGAGGATTTTGTCACTTTTGTGGACACCACCCTCCCCCAGCTGCCGCTCGGTGAACCCCAGCGGCCCACGGCCCTCGGCGGCTCCACGGGGTCGCCCCCCCGGCGCCGCCGCCAGCTCCAACGACCACTTGAAACGCCGTCCCTGAACCGCCGCCGCCGCCATCTTGCGAGCACCCCAAGTTCTGGGCCCCTCACTACAAGAAAGACATTGAGCTTCTGGAGTGTGTCCAGAGGAGAGCCACCAAGCTGGTGAGGGGTGTGGAGAACAAGTCACATGAGGAGAGGCTGAGGGAACCGGGCATGTTTTGTCTGGAGAAGAGGAGGCTGAGGGGAGACCTCATTGCCCTCTACAGCTCCCTGAAAGGAGGGTGTAGAGAGGTGGGGGTTGGCCTCTTCTCCCAAGGGAATCATGCCAGGAGCAGAGGAAATGGTCTGAAGTTGGGGCAGGGGGGGGTTTAGATGAGATGTGAGGAAGAATGACTTTGCTGAGAGGGTGGTGAGGCCCTGGAAGGGCCTGCCCAGTGAGGTGGTGGAGTCACCATCCCTGGAGGGATTGAAGAACTGTGTAGAGGTGGCACTTGAGGGCATGCTCTAGTGCCTGAGATTGTTGGGTTGTGTCTGTTTGTGGATGTTTTTTTGTTTGATTTTTGTTTTGGTTTGGGTTTTTTTTGTGGTTGGACTCAATGATCTCAAAGGTCTCTTCCAGCCATGAAGATTCTGTGATTCTGTGAATGCAAATGCCGCAAATGTCTCCTCCTCTGCTGACATTTCCCGAGCAGAACTCTCTTCTTTGACCTCCCTCTGTAAACATTGACATTGCATTCACATGGCTAATAGATTTCTGTCTGTTTTTACTGCAGCTGAATGTTTCCACTGGGACCGTCACTACTTCTTACGGCTGGAAATGGACCTGCACCAGCTGTGAGGCTGTGTATAAAAACCCCACAGCCCAAATCCCCCATTTTTTTAACAGACTGCTGCTTCCTCATCGTTGTGAAGTCCCCATTCATTCTGAGATGGTGGGGAAAAAATATTCTCCCGACTTTCTGTTCAGTGCCTTCTCTTTGACCGTGCCAGAGAGCCTCCTTTAAAACCAAAAGGGTTCAGTGAAGCGGTAAAAGGAGCTTCCTAAGTCTTTGCTTTCCTTAATGTGAATGTTATGCAGACTCTTGGAGGGTGGCTTGAGGCAGGACTTCGGGGAGCCAGCGCTGACCAGTTTGCAAGCACTGAGTGGTCCACCTGAAAAAGAGTAGCCAGGAGCTGGTTTTGCACAAATACCTGATTTTCTCTAGTTGCCCCAGCCCCTTGCCTGTCATATTCAGCCCATTTCATCCCCCTCACTGTCAGTAAGGCAACAGAGGCAGGTCAACTATTGCCATCCTTCCCTTGTCGCCGCCTCTGGATCCACACAGAGGAATAATCAGCATCAACAAACATCCCACGTCTTTTTTTTTAAGACATCTGGCATGCACTGGGCAGGAAAAATACAGCAAGCTGGAGTTTCCTTCATTGGGAGAAGTGCATAATGTTATTTGGGACAAATCTAAAGTTTCTCAATTATGATTTTTTGCATATGAATGGGAATTCAGGCTTGGTCCCCGGAGGGACCATCATTATATGCATTAACAGACAGATGGGCTTTAGAAAAAAGGGGGAAAGCAGAAAGAAAATAGATGTTTATTCCGTGCTTAGGAAAATGCACAGGAGGGGAATCATCTCCCATTCTCCCCACACCAAGCACTTCTCTCTCTATAGGCTCTGAATGCGTTCACTCATCAGGGCTTATTGAGTAGCTGCTCATTAGCACAAGTTCAGCTCCCTTTCTGCAGAGCTTACATACACACACAGATATAAGTCCTCAGGATGGCAGACCTGCTTTCTCTTCTTTGGGGGGAGCACAAGGCCATGTTTCTGGAGCTTTAATTTTGATTTGACAAAGGCTCCTATAAATATATAAAAATATATATTATATTTTTGCATTTTTACACATATATATTTTTTATATTTTTTTAATTATCCCCTCATATATTTTTACAACCTCTGTCCATGCTGCCACTTGTCAAATCTGGGTAGGTTGCAGTGCCCTAGGGTAAACCTTCCCAGGGAATGTAAAAGGGCTTTGCCAATTGTCAGCTTCAAACAAAGCTAAAATCAAATCATTAGGCTGGGGGGAACCAAAAAAACCCTCATTTTTTCCATCTTCAAATCCTGATTTATCAGCTCCTGCAAACTCACTGCTTCATCAGTGGGATGTTTCCGTAGTGTAAAAAAATAACCTGGAGCAAAGCTGCTGTCCTTCTCACCTTTCTTTTAGAAAATTTGGCACCTCCTCTTCTTGAATAGGCAAATAATATTGTTGAAAAAAAAAAAAGCTTTCTTTAGGATACCTGTCCTGTGCCATCTCCAGGAACAAGACGCCTGCACAATGCCATTGGTGATGAAGGCATTTCACTTGGCTTCCTGCTGTTTTTTTCTCCAAGAAAAATGGGCCTTTTGCCTTTCTTCTTTGTCTATTCCTTTTTTTTTTTTTTCTCTTTTGGTTCAAGGGGAGCCCAGTTTCAAAGGGAGCCCTGCCACATTGCCCAACCTCCCGCTGCATGGAAAGGGCCACAACCTGGTCCTTCCCCTCCCAAAACTCAGCTGTACTCAGGCTTTTCAAATTTACAGGGATGGAGGGGTCACCAGTACAACCAACTTGGGGTTGTTTTCAGTCTTCTTTTACTTCCAAATCTGCTGTAAGCCACCGGGGTCTATCTCTTTTTTTTTTTTTTTTTAGCCCTTCCGAGCAATTTTGGGGGGTGAAATCACTTCAGCCATCGGCTTGCTTGCCACCCTAGGTGGTACCCTCATTACAGGGGTGCTACCCTTAATGAAGAGGCTGGGCTGCTTATCAGTTATGGCTCTGAGGATCACCGGAGCGTGGATGATAAACTAGCAGGAGGCAGAGCTCTTTCCTGCCCCCGTACCCGCTGCCGCTGGAGCCCAGATCTCAACACGCTCAGCTTACCGTAATTTATTTCTCCATTACATTTCTGACCCCGGGGCCCTGCCTTTGAGGCTATCGCTGGCAGCCTTTGTCCCTCTGATTATGCTATCAGCACCACCTGAATGCTAATTGCCTTCCCTGATGAAGAAACCACCTGATTTCGGGGGGTTAGGGGAGGGATGGGTAATGCGCGAGGACTTTGCCCCTGGCTGGGTCACCCTCCCCAGGGATGCAAAGCACAGAGACCATGAGTTCAGCGCCCCTCCAGCTGCTGAAAATGAAATGGGAGAGCAGTACAGCCTGTCCCCACACAGAATAGTTACAATTATTTCATTTACTATTTTGTTTTATTTTATTTTATTTTATTGTTTTCTGCTGGAATGGGTGTAGTTGCTGCTACAAAAAAAGACCTGTGATTTTGGCTGTGCCGCCCCGTTCTCCAAACTCTGGATTTTAAGGGCTGAAGGCAACTCTCTAGCTTCCCTCCTTATTTTATTTTATTGTTTTCTGCTGGAATGGGTGTAGTTGCTGCTACAAAAAAGACCTGTGATTTTGGCTGTGCCGCCCCGTTCTCCAAACTCTGGGGTTTTAAGGGCTGAAGGCAACGCTCTAGCATCCCTCTCCCCCTGTCAGGCCAAGGGAAGGACCCACACGGGCATGTTTAGGGTCTAAAATCACCCCAAACTAGGTTTTAGCGAGTGTCGAGCGAGCTGGTCCCTGTGCAGGGCTCGGCACACACCCAGCTGCTCACAAATCCCGGCTGTGAAAGCCTGGTTTTCCAATGGAAAACACTAATCCCACCTTCCCCCCCTCCCCAAAGTCTTCCAAACCCAAGAAGGAATATGTTTCTTCCCCATCCGGACATTGGTGTTCAACCTTGAGGTCTGCAAGTGACTTTCAAGCCCCAAATCTGCAGCCAAGCCAGGATGAAAGAGCCTGTGGCTCCCCTCCACCTAATTTCTTACCAAACATGTGTCCTCGGACACTTTATGCCCCTTCAATCCCCTCTTCAGCAGCTGGTGGTTACCAGGTAGGATGGATCTTGGTGGGATTTTAGGACTAGAGGTAACAGCTGTCCCCTCTGCAGCCACCCCAGCACCCCACCTCCCTCCCGGCCACGTCCTCAGGGTCATTAATTCATCCTGGGCCAGGATCATTGATTGGGGCCAAATCCTTCTCAGTGCCAAACCTTGGCAACGCCCATTTATCCCCTGCACCTGGCCCAAAAATGCCCCTTTTCAGCCTGATCTAGCCTCACTCCCAGGCTACCTATCTGCTGCTATTCACCATTTATCAGCCATGCCCTGATCCTTGTCTTAATTAAGAATTTATCCCCTGGTGCTTCTGCATGCACGTGCCTACATATCTATCCATCCATGACCATTGGCTTCCTTTCCCCTCCTCCTACAACATCTGAGTCCGACCGTGGATTTTATCACATTTGAATGATATTACCAAGCCCAGTGGTCCTGAGCTCCTACATGTCTTATGGAAAGGGACTGGGGGACGCTGCTTCGTCGGAATTTTTCCCACCAGATAGGAGAGGTCGTTCCCTATCTTCTTTTTTAAATGAACATATAATTTCCCTAGCTTCTTCTTTTCTTTTTTTTCCCCATGAAATACAATTTTTACCTCGCATGCCCTTTCGCTCAGCAGCTCCACACACTGTATTTCTCCAGGAGTAAATGATTAAACTTTGGAGGCCGGAGTTCCATGTTTAAATGTCAAGCTTGAAACACAGCGCCTCAGAAGAGAAATCGATAGGATTTCAATTTTCTTGTAATAAATACGGCCTTTATTGGGTCCAAACCAAGAAAACACCTGGCAGTCTATCTCACAGTTTTGCTGCTTTTTTTTTTTCAGCTCAGAGGATTTTTTCTATCGGGTTCACAGTCAAAAAAAATAAGCTTTGAGAGAAATAAGTCATCTTCACCAGCAGAAACACATCCGTCGGCTGCTTGTGGAGGAACTCAAAGAGTTTTGCAGTGAAAAAATCCCAGTTAGATCTGCTCATAAGTTATCAAAGCAACATGTCAGTGTAAGAAAGCATCTTCTTTCTTTTATTCTACTTTATTTGCTGAATATTACTAAAAGCTGATGCTGTGACTGGCTGAGCTGACCTCAGCTGGAGGTGAGGAGATGATGGGATAAGAAAATCACCTGTGGGGGCACCTTGTTCTCC